TAAATATTTGTAATACTTGAGAAATAAAAAGAGAAATGTACGTACATTGGGTTTACATGCACGTACATACATTGGGTTTACATGCACGTACGTACATTGGGTTTACATGCATGTACGTACATTGGGTTTACATGCATGCACGTACATTGGGTTTACATGCATGCACGTACATTGGGTTTACATGCATGTACGTACATTGGGTTTACATGCATGTACGTACATTTAGTTTGCACGCACGTACGTACATTGGGTTTACATGCATGTACGTACATTGGGTTTACATGCGTGTACGTACATTGGGTTTACATGCATGTACGTACATTTAGTTTGCACGCACGTACGTACGTACATTGGGTTTACATGCATGTACGTACATTGGATTTACATGCATGTACGTACATTGGATTTACATGCATGTACGTACATTGGGTTTACATGCATGTGCGTACATTTAGTTTGCACGCATGTACGTACATTGGGTTTACATGCATGTACGTACATTGGTTTTACATGCATGTACGTACATTTAGTTTGCACGCACGTACGTACATTGTTGTTCCTCATCCACTGCGTTATACACTGATTACATATGTCATAAAGAATAATAACTTCAATGTACAGTACAGTACAATCGAGGACGATCTTTCCCAAATAAAAGAAATTCGAACTTTTGAAAAAACAAGAGTTAGCCATTGAATCCAGTACTTTCATTCCAATCACCCCACATACCTTTCAGCGTCAATGGTTCCTATATTTACTGGCGAAAAGGATCTTTTGAAGAAATTAAACATATATACATGTATAACTGGTCACATGTAAACCGTACTAATTACAGTGATTGTAAGTAATTTTATGTGTCCTACACAACATATTGCCTCCAAAGTACTTAGTGAAATAGCATGCCCCTCCTTTTTGTATTAAAAAATACCGCGCCCCCACGTTTTTCACTGCCCTCGTAGTCGGTGGACAATGACCAGTCCTTTAGCTCGAATGAGACGGGTCACGTGAAAACGATGTAATTGTCATGAAACCGAGATGCAATTCATGGACACAAGTCAGTGTTGACAACACAAATTGTTTAATCCAGTACATTTAATTTGTTGAGATCACAAATATAATCGTTGGTGGCATGCCACTGTCATCCGGTCGGTCTTGTATAAAATGCAAATCATAGACGGATATGACGTGGTAGTGGTATTGTATACAAGGATAATTGTTATTAAATTTTAGAAAACGATTTGTTGTCAATTTCTATACGAAAATCACTGCTTTTTATTTTCATTTTGATTCTAAAATTGTCATTAAATTTGTACATTATAATTGGTGGACGCGATAGCTTTGAGCCTAATTGTATAAACAGTCAAGCAATGTTTTCAACATGAGCTGGTATTATCAATCAAAATTAATGACGTAGTTTGAACGAATTGTCGTTTCGAATCGGATTAAGGGTGGCGTAGCTGTTGTAATGGAAAAGGATTATATTATATATTTATGTGCATCGGGCGATTTCCAGACAAGCTCGTTTGTATTTTGTGGTTCCGAGTTTTTGAGGTTAACGTAATTAATTAATTAGTAGAATACATTTCAAGTAATAATTAACAATTTTTGAGTGATAAAATAGGACACAAACTACGGCTGGTACGTAATGGTTCTGAAGCATCCTATATATATTATGTTTAGTGACATCGTGAGTAAACCATCATATTATTAGCAAACTGATACAATGTGAAAGACTCAATTTCAATTACAAAATTCATACTTATTATACAAAGTACAGTGATATCGGCAGTATGGTGAGAGTAAATGTTATGCCATTATGTGTTAATAACTAAGAACAGCGTACAATAGGTGAATATTCTATCCAATGAACCCAGTTGTACGTAAAGCTAGTGTAATAATCTGAGTACTAATAATGGATCATGTTTCTAAACGCAATTTTGAAATATACAACGTTTGATTTGCAGGGAAAGTAACGTTTTCTACCAATAATCCGTAAGGATTACGATAAAATGGCGATTACTTACATCGACTTAGTCCGATACGGCTTGTTCCTGTGCTTGCTGTCTACCAATTCAATAATCATTGCATTGAATGTAATTAACTTTTTGTGCGCATGCCCAAATCAAACTATCACAAATACCTCCGACATCAGAGTGAATATTAAATTTGCTATGACCACGTGTTCTTGAAACGCGGACATCCGCGCCGTGCATTCTGTCTTCTACTATAAAAACGCACCATGTGTTGTGCAGGGTCACTAGTGAATGGAACTGTCAAGCAACGGCACAGTGAATTATATAGCACATATTGCATTTTCGATTAATAAATCTACGTATAGAATGTCCGTTGTTTATGGATTTACTATAGTGTGAGATTAGTGCCAAAATGATATTGTTTCTTTTAGCGTTAAGTTATATTACTTATTCATTCTATGACTGTTTTTAGAATTGTTATATTACGTTTTTTTTTTTTTTTTTTACAATTTTATGGTCATTTTTTTATATGATTATATTTTTTGTTTTGATAATTTTTCTGTTCTGACATTTTGTTTTAAATCATCATCATAGTCATAATGTATGCGTAGAACTCCTAGCCATGATCACACGTTGTCAATCTATGTTTGAAGACTGTGTTCATCATGTTAAAGAAGAACTAAATAGAGCCTAATTTGGTGTTTGTATTTATCAACTTATGTATATTGATTATAAATTTGAAAATAAAAATTAAAAAAAAATGATTATCTTCAGAGTTATGATGATTTTAATATGAGAAACCATAAACCTGCGAAGGACTTCCGTTTGCGCCATCTTGCCATAAAAACCGCCCTCATGAGGTATGAACAGGAAAGGTAACAAAGCATGATGACGAAATAGTATCTGATTAAATATACACAACTTAGGGAGCCATAGTTGGCGGGACTTGTGAATTGACTTCTGGTCTAAATTGTTTCCACTTTTATGTTAAAGTTATTTACAAGCGTATCCGCATACAAACATTATGGATGTGCGATTGATCGAGACAGGGATTTTGTTTTTTTGTTTTTGTCTAACTGTCTAATAAATGCAGTTTCCAGTACTGCACTGTGCGTGCAAATTATTTCAAAATCTGGATGCTGGAGTATGCAATCTTGTGTTCGTAGGGTGGTGGTGGAAACATTTTCGTGCATGTATTCACGGGGCTGCACTGGCAAATCATGAGACAATTGTCGCAGGAACACTGGCACCAAGCAAATTGTTCACAGACTTCCGTGTAATTTGAAATAAAACTATCATCCGAACAAGGGGCATTGTCTACGGTATACTCTCTTCACTCACACTGGACTGATCTGAATCTTCACAGTATTATCAGGGGTAAAATCTTCTCTCTGGGGTTCTCCACACTTGTCAGGGGGGAAACTCGTCTCGTCTCTCTATCTCGTCCCCTTGAGGTACGGGATCGGGGAAGTCACTTATACTTTACAGTCAAATAAGACACACACAACGAAATACGTTTCAGCTCTCGTCTTAGTCGATCTGTGGAGCACTCTATAAGACACAGCGCCCTGGGGAAAAATCCCCAAGACTATCGCAAGGCTGACCCAAGACTCTTTTAGACTGCGTCAACGCTCGCCCCAAGGCTCTCCAGGACTGCGTCTGTTCTGCTGTACTCCCCAAGACCAACTAAAACAACTTTATTCATTTTCAAAACTCTAACCAATTACAAAGCAGAAAAAAACTCTAGGGCGTAACCTTCAATCATAAAGCCAATCACACTAAGTACTGAAAACGTCATATCTTTTGATTAATCGTTCACTACATTAATAACTACGGATACCAACTGTCAGAATGAGTAGCCAGAATAGCGACGGTTATCTCGTAATCAGTTCCAAATCACTGAGCCAAGTTCCGTCCAAAACTTCAAATAGGCCTACACGATGACAGACTTAACACAGCAATTCGCTAATAATCAACTAATTAAGTCGTTCAACAGATACGCGAAAACGAATTCATGACAGTATACCGTACTTCCCTGATCATAAGCCCGGAGGCATGAACACGTAAGGTAAAAGTAAGGGATGAGCTTATACTCGAGGACCAACTCAGAAAAGATGATTTTGTTTTGGGGTTAAACACTGTAACCATCTTGCCAACAACGAAAAATTATCCAAAATAATGATTCGTTCACCACGCCGGGTTCTGGAAAATAATACTTATTTCATTACAATACTATTTACATACCGTCAGAATTTACGGTGAAATAATGGGTAGGGTCTGTCGGGAAACAGTCGAAGGCATTTATCATTATCTTCAAGTTCGTTTTGGTATGTTTTCGATCGTACGCAAACTCTCGCCGCAAAGCAACTTTCCACCATGAGGCTTTTCAGCACGATTTGACCTGGAACAACTTCCTTTGACCTAACAGGTCATGTCTTTCATTAACCAATCAAAATGATGTGTCGTAATGATGAAATTTTTCGATTATTGACGTTGATTTTTTAACGCAATGCGGAAATGAATTACCGCAATGTTAAAATGCGATCTGTAGCACTGATTGCAACGAAAAAAACGATGATTTTTTCCCTAAAAACTGACGATTCGCAATTTCCGAAAAGTAAACGACGGTTAATAGTAACCGTGGATAAACGGTGGAGGAAGAATTTAAACACTTTTCACGGTCGCCAACATGTCACATCGTTCAAACCCTATGCCTTTCATGATAGTCTCAAAGTAAACCATGCCCAATAACCAGGTACACGAATTAACGATCACATTTTTGGCTTTTCGAAAGCTACTACTCAAAGAAATATGGATTACTCCAGTATTGCAACATCGGGGTTCATCCTAAGTAAATGACAGAATAGAAAAGATGCGAACCACGTTGTGTACGTTCGCCATGCAGTCTGAAATTAATGTGAGTTTCTCATAAAAGTACGAACCAAACTACCATGCCAATCACGATTATTATGAAATGAAACACACTTTTTACACGCATATTTTAAAGAATATCGTCGACGCCCAGTAAAAACACGCTGGGCTTATAATCGTGAATGCCCTCAACTCGATAAATACCTAGTAACAATAGAGGGATGGGCTTCATACTCGGGAGGGGGGCTGTACTTTAACGCAATTTGGCTTCCACTCTCAGAATACTGTGGTTCAAACGCGTATTGCTCTAACCCAAGTACTGAAAAGCACATAGTGCATATAAAAGTTGAGTTTATACTAGTAGTACACAATGCTTGGTAGCATGGACGGCTATATACAATGGCGTATACGAATACGATCAGATACTAAAACGTCATAGCTTTGAAAAGTATCCGGATGTTAAATATGTTCGTTCGTTATTTATTCCCCTCCATGAGTGGCCTCCATGGTGTTAAACTGCAATCACTTGAAATGCATATCCAAGCTACAGTTATAATTAAAACAAAATTAAACCACTGCAATATTATTTCGAATACAGTTTAGAATATACACAACTATAAATTAAGGACGCATTTAGGTTCGCTTTAATAACCCTGAGCAAACAATCCAAGTAATTCTCTGCCAAGTCAGCTAGCTACATTCGTGGAGCTCCGTGCTACAAACTTTCGGCGAAATAACTTACTAAACCTACCTGCACTCGTGCACTAGTGGGGATATATTTTCAAAGATATTATACATTAAAATCACTTTCCATCAACCATTATTCAACATAAACTTCTACAACTAGCATTCATGCACGTTATTTTAATCAACAACATACCAGTGACGTGGTATCTGAAATCGACACTATTAAAAACACATGATACAAGCATGAGTAAAGGTGATAAGTATTGACCCGTCAGCCGGCGACCACTGCATACCACGGCGATTACATCTCGCCGAGCTCGACTGTTTAACCTGACAGAGTTTAACTGTATTCGACTTTTCCCATACCACAGATAACTAGAACATTTACATTTAAACGTTCCTCCAGAAATTCACGTGCATTTAATTGCGTTTAAGTCGCGCGTACCATAAATTGCAAGTTTGTTTCAAAGACTGCAGTCGCATTGCACCGTACGTGGTCAAATTCACGTGCCGTAAATTACGTGTTTGGAGACCCTCAAATTTGTTTTCACCTTTGTCACCTATTCCCCCACCAACGTGGATTAAAACACTAATATTTGTTCCGCAGGTCGTTTGAATTGGACGATTTCTTTTGTTCCGAGTTCGTTGTATGCCTAGAAACATAGCAACATTTCTTATGAATGTTTTATGTTCCGTTCCAATAAAGTATTTTGATTTGTCAATCGAACAATTTTAACAATTCCCTACTGGAACGTCTCCCGTATAAATAATCCTCTATTCTCTAAAATTTGACAATGGCAAATGGGTTTCCTGTTCAGTACGTCTTTGATTGTATCAATAATGTTCACGTCGCCGTACGTAAAGACACACTCTTGACAATATTTACTCCCAACCCATGGACAAGTTGACAATCCCTAACATTGCTAAACCGAATATTGTGAATTTTAAATGTCATTTATTAGGATTTCGCATATACAGTGATTTCTTTTGTCCAGATTATATTCTCAAATTAATATTTAATGGGTATTTGTGTGAGTGTACCTGTTTGTATTTAAATATGTACACCATTAAAATGATAAAAACCTCAAATACAACCATAGTACACATGCAGAGTAAACAAAATTATCGAAAGTGATCTTGGATTAATTAACCATTTGCCAACATGCTGTGACATTATATGTAGTTATATATATATAATATAATTTTAATTAACAATATTAGACTATCCTGCAACACTATAATAATTACTTATAGTATGTCAGCAATCAGTATGACAAGAATGCGTGATTAAAAGCTCATTCTATAAACGGTCAAATATTTTTTGGTCTAAGTAAGAAACTAGAGAGCAATGTCAGAGCATGGGTCATTTTCAGGAACTCCTGCCAGGGGAACTGCACAAATTATAAAGACAAAATAACAGTTCCAAATTATACCAGTTTTTAAC